AGAGAGAGAGAGAGAGAGAGAGAGAGAGAGAGAGAGAGAGAGATCAACTCATCGAAAAAGGTTAGAGAACACTGACTTATATATGCCGAAACTATTGTACTATTAGACTGATTAGTCATCCGAGTAAGGTAATGCTTAAAGTCATTCTCAACAGACTGAAGCCACTAGCAGAGAAAATCATAGCAAAAGAACAGGCAGGCTTCAGGACAGGGCGCAGCACAACTGAACAAATCTTCAACCTGAGAATCATCATGGAAAAGTATCTCCAACACCAACAGGAGCTTCGCCACGCATTTGTGGACTTCAAAAAAGCTTTTGACAGAGTATGACAGGAAGCTTTGTGCGCAACCATGAACTTATACAACATCAACGCCAACCACCTGATCAAAGTCATAGAAAAGCTTTACAACAAAGCTACGAGTGCAGTCTTTTTCAACAACAACATTGGGGAATGTTTCCGTACAACAGTGGGAGTACGCCAGGGTTGTCTGCTCTCACCCATATTTTTCAACATTTTCTTGGAGCGGATCATGACAGATGCACTTGAAGATCGCGAAGGAACAATCAGTATTGGGAGCAAAACGATTAACAACTTATGTTTTGCAGACGACATAGACGGCCTTGCGGGACAAGGGCAAGAACTAGTCAGCTTAGTAGTCCGTCTTGAAAAGACCCCAACAGCTTACAGTATGGAATTCAGTGCTGAGAAGACCACTCTGATGTCTAACAACAACAAGAACATCACAGTAGACATTCAGGTCAACAACCAGAGGCTCGAGACCGTACGCAGCTTCAAATACCTGGGTGCAATAGTGACAGACGAAGGATCAAAACCAGAAATAATCTCCAGAATAGTGCAAACTTCAGCAGCAATGACCAAGTTGAAAACCATCTGGAACGACAGAAATATCACCATCAAATCAAAGATTAGACTGATGCGTTCCCTGGTCATGTCAGTATGTTTGTATGCTTGTGAAACCTGGACCTTGAATGCAGACCTTGAAAGAAGGAACAAAGCTGTGGAGATGAGATGCTTACGAGAATTCCTTGGTATCTCATACAAAGATCACATCACAAATGATGAAGTCAAACAACGAATCAAAAATGAAATCGGACCATATGCTGACCTTCTCACTCTTGTCAGGAAACGCAAACTGCAATGGTATGGACACATCAGCCATTCATCCGGCCTTGCCAAGATGATCCTGCAAGGCAGCGTCCAGGGGAAATGGAGCAGAGGCAGACCAAAGAAGAGTTGGGAGGACAGCATTAAGGAATGGACAGGCCTGGAATTCAAAGACTCGCTCAGAAAAGCTGGAAGACCGGAAGGAGAGGAGGAAGCTGGTGGCCAAATCTTCAAAAGCGACCCGATGGACATCCAGTCTACGAGATAGGTGAAGATATATGAATTAAATTTAAAAATGAAGAAAATGAAAAAAAAACATCGTAGGCCTATATGGTTTGGGTTTTTTTTTCCAATATCCAAAGAAAAGTATTTTTATATTTTTATTTTTATTTGTTGTTTTTTGGTGTAGATACAAGTAATGGCTATTTTTTTCTCCAACAAAAATGGAAATTGGCAGATCACATCGGCAGAGTGAAAGACAACTATTAGTCAAAAAGATGTGCTGAATGGAGACCAAGTAGTAGCATACAGGGAAAAGATCAAGAGGATGACCAGAGAGAATAACCCTATCCGTACGCCCCGGGGTCATTTTGCACCCCAGGGGTTGTATTTTTTTACATTTTAGAATACTTCTAGTTCGAAGATCTCTTTGAAACTTTCAGTATTTCTCAAAAAATCATGTTGACAG